ATAATTTCCTCTGTCTTTTGCGTTTTTAATAGTTTCCTCTGTCTTTTGCGTTTTTAATAATTTTCTCTTTATTTTGCGGTTTTAATAATTTCTTCTGTCTTTTGCGTTGTTAATAATTTTATCTGTCTTTTGCGTTTTTAATAATTTTCTTTGTTTTTGCGTTTTTAATAATTTCCTCTGTCTTTAACATTTTTAATAATTTCCTCTGTCTTTTGCGATTTTATTAATTTGCTCTTATTTTGCATTTTTAATAATTTTCTGTTTTTGCGTTTCTAATAATTTCCTCCGTCTTTTACGTTTTTAATAACTTGCTCTGCCTTTTGCGTTGCTAATAATTTCCTCTCCCTTTTGCGTTTTTAATAATTACCTCTGTCTTTTGCGTTTTTAATAATTTCCTCTGCCTTTTGCGTTTTTGATAATTTTCTCTGTTTTTGCGTTTTTAATAATTTGCTCTTTATTTTGCGGTTTTAATAATTTCTTCTGTCTTTTGCGTTGTTAATAATTTTATCTGTCTTTTGCGTTTTTAATATTTTTCTTTGTTTTTGCGTTTTTAATAATTTCCTCTGTCTTTAACATTTTTAATAATTTCCTGTCTTTTGCGATTTTATTAATTTGCTCTTATTTTGCATTTTTAATAATTTTCTGTTTTTGCGTTTCTAATAATTTCCTCCGTCTTTTACGTTTTTAATAACTTCCTCTGCCTTTTGCGTTGCTAATAATTTCCTCTCCCTTTTGCGTTTTTAATAATTTCCTCTGTTTTTTGCGTTTTTAATAATTACCTCTGTCTCTTGCGTTTTTAATAATTTCCTCTGTCTTTTGCGTTTTTAATAGTTTCCTCTGTCTTTTGCGGTTTTAATAATTTGCTCTTTATTTTGCGGTTTTAATAATTTCTTCTCTTTTGCGTTGTTAATAATTTTATCTGTCTTTTGCGTTTTTAATAATTTTCTTTGTTTTTGCGTTTTTAATAATTTCCTCTGTCTTTAACATTTTTAATAATTTCCTCTGTCTTTTGCGATTTTATTAATTTGCTCTTATTTTGCGTTTTTAATAATTTTCTTTGTTTTTGCGTTTTTAATAATTTCCTCTGTTTTTTCCGTTTTTAATAATTTCCTCTGTCTTTTGCGTTTTTAATAATTTCCTCTGTCTTTTGCGTTTTTAATAATTTACTCTGTCTTTTGCGTTTTTAATAATTTCCTCTGTTTTTTGCGTTTTTAATAATTTCCTCTGTCTTTAACATTTTTAATAATTTCCTCTGTGTTTGCGTTTTTATTAATTTGCTCTTATTTTGCATTTTTAATAATTTTCTGTTTTTGCGTTTCTAATAATTTCCTCTGTCTTTTGCTTTTTTAATAACTTCCTCTGTGTTTTGCGTTGTTAATAATTTCCTCTGTCTTTTGCGTTTTTAATAACTTCCTCTGTCTTTTGCGTTGTAAATAATATATTATCTCTTTAACATTTTTTATAATTTTCTAAAAAGGGCAGACTGTTATCTTCTTCAAGTTCTATTGTAAATTGAATGCTTCGGTGAATGGAATTCAGGTGTTCTAGAAATTTCGAAAGCTCCTCCTTGCCAAAAGGCCATACAACAAATACGTCATCAGCGTTTCTTGTCCATAGTTTTGGATTCAAATTTGCCTTCTCTTTCTTTTCGAAGTAAATCATGTAGAGGTTGGCAATCTCAGGTGAGAGAGATGATCCCAAGTTGTTTCTTTTAAATGAATTCTTCTATGGATTTCACCTTTCCGTAATAATAATTATTATGTCATATATTGAAAAACAAAGGTTTCTTAGATCCTAGTTATAGAGTTTTCTTGACTCTTTTATATGCTATTAGAATAGAGATATTTTTTGACCCGTGTATTTCGTATTTCATTTCAATAAACTTTTTGTTTAATCATGTTATCGGATTGAAACCTATAACTATCCGGTGCGGCGATATTTTTTTAAGTAAAACTCGCGGCAACCGCCATTATTGCCGAACCGCTTACGAACTTTACGTCCGCGATATTATGTTTCAACTAACAAACAGTCACGACCAATTCGAAGCGGGTCCGCGGGTGTTTCGAATTGAAGAAATTAAATTCAACACCGCAAGGGGTTTGTTTTTGCCCGGAACAACTTTCATATTAGTCTAGAAATTTACAAAATTGAACGTATCGCGTTTCTTTAAAGTAACACTATCTTTCCGAGCCAGAGGGTTTCGTAACGCGACGACACTCTCGTAAATATATCGATTTTAAAATCTTCAGAACTTCGACGCTAAAGGGAAAAGACGCACCAACATCGTTCCCGTCATACCCGGCGTTTTATTTTTTGTCATTTTTTTACTTAAAGGCTTTAATTTCCGAACATCCGCAAACTTTTGCTTTATACCGGACATTATGCAGTTGTGGGTTGTGTGGGACAGTATGACGGAACGGGTTGTTTTTCACTGCGTTCCTTCAGGGTTGTCGCCAAACGGATCTTTGATGGAGACTGAAAGAATTATCTCCTTAAAGACATTAAGAATTAATTTTTAATTTTTTAGGATAACCTAGGATTTTCAAAATAGCACCCTAGTGGGAGCAAAAACTTTTTAGAACCGGCACTTTTTTTGCAACATTTTGACACCAAAAATTTCAAAATCCTTTAAAAAATAAGCTCACAGTGAGGAAGAACATATAAGTAAATACATTTTTATAAAAACAAAATATTACTTAGGTGCATTTGCTTCTATTCATCATCAAGTCGGCATGATGGAAAATTCTGACAGTTTGTACATTTTTATCTGATTATCGATAAATTTTATTGTAAGTGAAGAAATGGAAATTTTAAAATAACACGGCTATCGTTCTTTTAAGTATAATCTTCCAGAAGACTACGGATATTGTAATTGGCTGTTAGATAAACATGACGAGAATAATAATGTCTTTAGCTTAATTTTGTTCACTGACGAGTGACGAATCTCAAATAATGCTATGTTTAATCGACAGAACAACAGATAAATAATCAAAGAATTATTCGTCCCGGACAGTTTCAAGAACGGTCTGCAATGTTTGAGCAGGAATGATAGGAAGGCGAATTATTGGTCCTGTTTTTTTTCATGCTGCCTTAACTGATGCACGATATTTACAGTTCCTAAGAAATGAAATTGAAGACTCGTTAGATAAATTACCTCTTGCCACGGACATTAAATATGTATTTTCAGCAGAATCGCAACACACGGTCCATTCAATTGTCCCCCTCGGTCACCGGACTTGACACTGCTAGATTTTTATGTTTGGGGGTAACCATTGACTACATTCTTTTTGTTTTCTTGTGTCACCCAGTATTTGGTGATGTTAGTATAAAATTTTAGAGATAACACAGGAAGTAGAGATAGTTCCCTCATAAAAAATAATGTCACTTCCTTTTTTTTATAAAAAAAATATTTCTGGTATTTTCACTGATTGCAGATTCTTATTTATCTTCAATTTCGACCATAGTCTGCTACAATTTGTAAATTTGTGAATTGACAAGTCTTTATATCAATTTAAGTTGACCTGAGTAAATGAAAGTAGGGTTATTACTCGTTGTTGCTGATAACGGCCACGCCTGGTTTAGCAGTGGGTGATAATAATTAAACAGTAGGAAAACGTACAGTGTTCATTTAGTTTATAGCGCTTAATCGCCTATGCGCACGTAATTCACATATAGTGCAGAAAATATCTTTTATCAAGGAAGTGTAAGCTTCAAACATTTCAACTGCTAATGTGATTTGAAATTTTCGCTATCATTTAACGTCTTGAGCTAAATATAACACAAAATCCCTAAAATTTAATTTAATAGACAAGTTCAGAAGATAGAAAAAGAGTTATTTGCAAAAGTTTGAAGTGGCTATATTTCGATAAAAAACGAACACGGACATCCGGAATAATAATTTCTGTTCATTCTGCTTTTTTTTTAATACCATATGTTGTTAAATTGGTTTGAGTATTATTAAAAGCAAAGCAGAGCTTCCCAGGAATATACATTTCAGGTTTTCACTTTTACAACTAATGAAGCTCTTTAAAAATAAACAAATCATCAGTATTTGAGTTTTCTTAATCTTATTGTGTTTAGTGTTGTTTTATTTTGAATGCGTGTTTCTTTATTATCAGTTACCATATACAATTAACCGATTTTATTAATTAGCTAAACGATGCTTAAATATTTAATTTGTTTTATTTAAGTGGGAATATTTGTATAAAAGTAGACCCTACTCAATTCCAGGATAATAATTTCTGTTCGTTGTAGTTTTTACTTAATACCCGACGAACTTCTAAGTGAGACACCCTCTAGCATCTATATTTAGTCTTTTTATTTTTATAATTTACGAGACTCATTGAAAATTAAAAAAATATTGGTAGTTAAGTTTTCTGAATCTTTTTGATAAATTAAAATAAGCAATTACCCGATTCTATTAATACACTAAACCATCTTAAATGTTTAATTTTCCTTGCTTAAGTGGGAATATTTTTATAAAAGTAGACATTGCGTCAATTCCAGCATAACAATTTCTGTTCGTTGCAGTTTCTTCTTAATACTCGAAGAACTTCTTGGTGAGACACTCTGTAGATATAGTAACTTGCGTTAGTTGTAATTAAGTGACTGATTAGACGCAAAACGAAAACGAAAATATAGTTTCATGTTTGTTTTAGTTTAGTTTTTTTGTTCATTCGTATTCATTTTTTATCAATCACCATCAACAAATAGCCGATTATTACACTAAACGACACAATTAAATATTTAATTTATGCTATTCCGGTATAAACGAAAATCACTAGGTAAACTTTCCAAATCGATCCGTACGAAAAATGGTCTGCCAAATAAGTTTTGATAAGCCGCGAGACCAGATTGGGTTTTTCTGACCCTCGTCTGCACGCACGTAAAAATCTGAACCGCAAACAACTCCCCTATAAGAAGTTTTTTAATCCTGTTACAAAGTATATTATTTACCTGACTTTTCCAACGCCGAAGTTTACATTTGGTATATTTTGCAGGACGTTCTTACTATGAGCAATCATTTAGAGATTTCGACGCCCTATAGTGTGTTCAAAACCGCATCGTCCCTATTTAGACTCAGCATTATCAACCAAAGGCAGTATTCATTCCGAATAGGATTTAACTACCAAAACGAAAGCAACCGGATCGATGTGAGTATTGAAAAAAAAAATCAACGTTTCATTCCCAAGCTGCTTCTCGTTTTCACAGACCGAATTATTTGCCGAATACAACGTAGATCGCCGCGACATCGACGAAAACACCCACAACGTAACTTTGGAAGTAAAGACCCCCTTTAGAGTGTTTCCGAAGTTAAATTTGTTTGGAGCTTACGAAACTGAGGAGAATTTTTATCGCACCAGGCTATTATTCAACACAAATAAGAGCGATGTATCTTTGGATGCAACCACTGAGGTAAGTATACCAGGGACTGTTCGATTTTTCTAACGGAACGGACGCTGATTTGTTTTTACTCCTCCGGTATATCACTTACACCTACTTAGTTAATAATCATTTTTCTAATTTTCTTTGGTATAATTTGGGGTTTGTTCAGAAATGCGAATCATCAATAATCAGTTATAGGAGGTGAGTCTTACTGGTTTCTCTTTGCCTTAGCAAAATGGATATCTGACTCAAGATGAAGTGCTAACCGCAAATACGCGTATATTCAGTTATTTCAAAATACCGCGCTCAGCTGACTCTTAGCACCATAAAATGACCGTGTATTGTAAGCAACTATTTACACCGACATCTTCGCGTATTGTTTTCTCTCCAAACAACTGTTTTCAATTCATGCCAGATATTATTCGATTGCAAATCGTAAGGCCAACTTCTCTAGTTAAAATATATCAGTTCTAAAATACTATTTTGGTATTGTTGAATCGGTCCTTCTTTAAATATTTTTGCAAGATAGCCCAAAAAGATTTGTTCTGCTCATTGGCTTGGTACTTTTGATTGAGTCGTTTTATCCTGAGGACGCCAGGTGGGTTTGGTTATTATGACAAGTCTCCAGAAGATTATTGTTCAGGATGAATCCAACATTTCGTTTTAATCTTTCCATTAAAAAAGAGAAAGTAACAGGTTTTCAGATACTAACTGCAGCAGCTATACAATTTTAATCACAGCCAATAGCAACGGCGAAATAACCAATCTTTCAAAATTAATATATGACTTTAACAGATCTTTTTACGAAGGAGATTTCACTAGTGGATTTGACGAATGTTAATGAAACCTGAAAATTCTCTTGGAGAGACAGCTGTAGGCACTGATCACTGATCCGAATAAACCCCCACATTGCTGAGTCTCTTGGGGAGGTAGGGAGCAATAAGTCCTTAAACTAAATTATTAAAAAAATATATTTGTTTTTACGTCAGTAAGTCTCAATATTTCAGTATTTGTTGATATTTTATTAGTTCATTCTTTTAAGTGAATCTTAATGATCTTTTCTTCTATTAAAAGGTCCATAAAAATTAAATATTTACATTAGTCGCGTCACTTGTTTACTAGCCAGTGGCCTCCATATTACACTGCTGACTTAAACAAGAGGTACGTTCCTTATTACTTTTGTCATGGACTTTTCCAGAATCAGACTAGTTTTGGTTAGTTCTAGTTGATTTATTACGGCAAACTATTATATTAATTATAATTTTACCACTATAGTTCCTGATTGCTACTCTAATTACCAGTAACTATATAATAATCTACATTTATTCAGCACTTGGCTACTACAATTTTTTACTAAAAATATGCATTCCTAATATCATTTGGTGGTTCGTTAAATAGGAATTTTCGAATTGCAGATGCCAAGCTATAATTTTATTATCTTAGATTAAAACTATGCACATATATATAAGTTGAAATTCAATTTTTCTTTTCAATTTATTAGATAAATAAAATATTCCCTAGGTGAATCGTTCAAAAATATTGATACTTCCGAGCTGTAAAGTTATTTGCAGTTTGGTTCGAAGAATTTAATTTTAATCTATTTTGATAGAAACAATTATATTACCTTGAGTTCACATCTCCTATCAGTGAATAATCACCACCAGATACATACAAATAAATTAACAAAACAATTCTTTTGAGATCGTTAATATATAAAGTAAATAAAAGTGGCCCAAGAAGGCTGCCCTGCGGTATGCCTAATATACTTTCTTTCCTTTGGGACACCTTACCCCAATTTCTCACTTTTCTGAGATCCTTCACACATTCCCATTTAACGCACGACCTTCTGCACCATAAATGTTCGATTTTTTGGGAAGAATACCATCTATCTACTATTTGAAAGGCTTGTTTATGATCCACAAAAACGCCTACCACTATTTTCCTTTGCGAATCTTCTGTCTTCAATTCGTACAAAGGTAATACTCACAACAATGTTGCTTGCAAAATCCACTATTTGCTGCAAAAAATATTTTAGCTGATCCCAGAAAACAGGCTCAATAATTTTATTTATCACAGGACAAAACTCCGACAGAGCTTTTGGTAAAGGTAATACTACCAGTCTTTAAATCGCGGTTTGATTAACGAGGTGTCAATTAAATGTAGAAGGGGATACCCAGCCTCATAAAAATGATTTACTAATTTTATTTATTTATTTATTTATTTACGGTTTAACCAATTTACAAAACTGTTATATACATTAAAGGCAAAGAGGGTGAATAAACTCCATAATTTGCGCCATGGTAAGGTAATGCCAACCATTCAGAATTTTAGAGAGAAAAACTAAATCACCCTGAAATTTTCTGGTTTGAAGAGTATCAATATTGAAGGCCTTAGTTATAATACTGTAGTTGATCTATACCCATTATAGATATTGATATGCGCCTTTGAAGCCAAAGATCTTAAAAATACTTTCTGAACGGCTTCGATGTTATCTATATAGCAGGCATAACATGGAGACCATGCCACAGATGCATACTCCAGTCTAGAGCGAACCAAAGAGATATAAAGAAGTTTAAAGCAATGTAACAATGTTTCTAGCAAAGCAACAAACCCAAGGACTCGCATAGACCTGTTTACCAGCTCCGTAAAATGTGACACAAAACTTAGTTTAGAATCGAAGCAAACACCCAAGTCTTTAATGCTGGTGATGGCATTGGTCTGGGCTATATCGATTGTGAACCATACTCAACGAACGACTAAAGCTAATACTGCAGCATTTTTTACATTGAACGGAAGACTATTAATCTTAGACCACATGCAAACACTGTCCACGTCCCTTTGAAGCAGCAGAGTATCCTCGCGGGATCCAACCTTCCTGAATATGTTCAAATCATCCTCAAACAAAAGACACTGCGACGCCGAAACTACATTAAAAATATCATTTGTAAACAAGTTAAAAAGATTGGGTCCAGTGTGAGAACCTTGGGGGACTCCCGAAAAAATATCAATTTTAGCTAAGACATAATTATTAATACGAACCAACTGAGTACGACCATACAGATACAGCTTAGAGACAAGGTGCACATGACCCACATGGTCCAAAACCTTCGAGAAATCAGTGTAGACACAAAACACCTGACCAAACTCCTCAAAGGCGTTCAATAAAAAATGTTGGTATATGAGTAAATTTGTTACGGTAGATCTACCCTATACAAATCCATGCTGTTGATCAGTCAGAATTCCTCTGCAATGCCACGAAAGTCTTTCACAAAATAACTTATCTAGCTGTTTAGGAACCACCGCAAAAGTATGCAAAAGTCTCTATAATTAGCGACATCGTTCTTATCATCACTCTAGTGAATCGGTAGCAAATTGCTAACCTTCCAAAAGTCAGGAAAAATACCTGAAGACAAGGACAGATTAAATATATGCTCTAGTGCCCTACTCAAAGCACACACGCAATTCTTAATCAAGATTGATGGAATCCCGTCAGGCCCATGGCAAAATCCAGTCTGTAAGTTCATAATACTCTCAAATACCTCAGTAAGTGAAACGCGCATGGAGTTGAACTGTAACCTATAGTCAAAACTATAATTAGGAATCACACCCCTATACTTTTCATAAGTAGAAGCAAAGTGCTTTGCAAACAAGCCAACAATATCCTGGCCACAGTCGGCAAAAATATTTTGAGTCATACTTGACATCCTGATTAATGTTCATTATATGTGCACTGTAGCACTCACTACGCAGTGCCTTACACTGATCCCTTGAGCCACAGAAATTAAAATAATAATCAACAATTAAGTTCTCGAGATCATGACTAAACCATACGGGAAGACTTAAAAGTCATAATAAAAGACATCATAATTTAAACCAATATCACAATCAATAGGCAACATAATCTCATAAGCCAGGTGATGCTCTGCAATAGTCAATATGCTCTCGAATGCAACACAAACCAGAGCCACAGGCAAACTCATAAATATCAGATCCAAGAATCTGCCAAACTTATTTGGGATACAGTTAGCTTGACCTAAATTATGATAATTACAACAGGGACACAGCAGATATGCAGACGTGCCAGGCTTCATACTCACTACACACCAACCACTCTCAGAATTATGCCAAACCACACTAGGTAAATTGAAGTCACCACCAATCAACCCATCACAATTTACGTATTCAGCCAAGAGGTCTGAAGTAGAGGAAGTAGACTCCTCATACACTGAAGTTGGTGACGAGAGAGGAATATAAGCCGCACCAAGAATAATTTTTTTCACTCCGAACGAAACATGCACAAAAATATGTTCCACAACAGAAACATGAACCATGTGTGGCTTTAACTGTCTAGAGTATCACCCATTTGGCCCCAGTGGGGCGTTAATGCACATCCATTTAGAAATTATTATTATCACTACTATTATTACTACTAAAGGACATAAAACCGTAGAAATCGCTAATTTATGTGTAAAGGAATGATCTTATATACGACAAATTTGTATTACATTTTCAGGTAAATCCAAAATAGTAAAAAAAATATTTTGAATTTGTATTGCCATTTTTGTTAAGATGTAGATTACATCGCAGAAAACATACATTGGAAATACTATATTGATTATGCTTTATTTAAACTTTGTTATTGCATGTCTAGACAAGTCAGCGCATGTAGAATAAACATCGAACAATTAGTGCGTTCCTTAGTATTAGTTTGTGCCTTGTGCAGTGAACGTTTCAGTTCATAAAATATGGCATTTCCGAGGTATTTGACTCAAAAGGAATTAGAGGCGGCTGTGGAGGAGATCGTGATGCATGAGGACAATAACGATGAAAGTCGTAAGTATTATTTGGGTTTATGTATTCTTATGTATTGTAGTGTTCCATTCCTTGTAAATTTATGCTAAAAATAACGTGAAAAAATATTTACAGAACATATTGACGCGGTCTATATTCCACCCGACGCGGATACCTTGACTGACGAAGAAGATATGAACGATAACATAAATCTACAAGAGTTTGGGGAACCAACTGATTCGAGTTACATACACCGAATGATACAGCTGTCCTTCAACAGTCCTGTAATTTATCAACTACTGAATCTGTATGGGACTAATCAGATGATGAAAGCCTGGAATTCAAATGAAGACGTATGCTTTCCGCAATCGACAGGCTTGATTCTAATGTCAAATGGAAGAAAGGTCAGATTGAGTACACTCACACACCTGTATTCGATGAATTTGGATCATGTGAGGAACTAAAAAATAGGCTTTCTGGAAAAACTCCGCTTGAAATATTTTTTACGTTTTTTATGACGAAGTGATTGATTTGATTTTAAATCTTTCATTGCTTTGCGACTTTTAAAAACTGATAAAACAATTACTCAAGAAATCTTGCACCTGCCATGGATGAAGTGCGTTATGATAATCAAGGTCACCTCATGATTGTTCATGCTAATAAAGCCCGAAGGAGATGTAGAATCTGCCACAACCACACAATTTATGTTTGTAATAAGTGTAATGTGCATTTACATACTTCATGCTTTGTAAAATATCACCAAAAATGAAACCGGGTGTTACCATAAAATATTTTGCGTTTTTTTGTATCCAATCAGGTTCTATTTGGAAAACAATCTACTTTTGGTTGTTTTGTGTTGAATTTGAACTTTCTTTTGTTTATTTATTTATAAATTATATGTATATCTTATGTGCCCCAAAACATTATTTAATGTTTTTTCCCAGTGGTTCGTTTACGCACCAGTATTTTTTTGTATGTTTCGAGTTTTTATTTTTTATTTTTTTGACACATGTAATGTATTCTTAAGTGCAATAAAATAAATCATTTCAAAGCAAAAAAGTATTTTTTTTATGCTTGGGATAATATGGGTTAAGCGGTTATTCTTCCACCAATATATTAATTTTTGTCCTTAATGTGATTAGTTAGATTAGTTCAATATTAGTCATTTTATTCATTCATTTATTCATCTCCCGTAATTTTTTTATAAATTACTGCGATTCGAATTTTTATTAATTGATTTAAAAAATAAAGTAATAAGATATAGAGCGTCTTTATTTACGTTAGAACTGAGGTTACTAATACAGGATTGTAAAATATTCCGTGCAAAATGGTTAAGCTCAGCCTGGCAAAACTTATCTAACCATTTACATTTTAGAAAGTTTCTTGTCGTAGGAAACCTCTAACGCGGTACGAGGCAGACAATCGAAGCAACCCCGCGGTAGAACGATCTCCCGGGGCTCATAATAAAACCAGTGAACTGTCTGGAATGATAACTAACATCACTAGAATAAAACGTTAACAGTCGCAAATTCGGGTATAAAGTTGACACGTTGGGAATTGAGATTTTATAACTCGCTCGCTTTACTCTGAGCTTTACTTAGGAAAATGTTTATGTATAACTTATCTGGATTTTATAATTTTAGATCGACGAGGACTGGTTAGGCCTCACCGCCGATTTTTACGCAAAAACTCCGATCATAAGCTTGCCACAGTGTCAGCTTCGTTTTACAAAACTTATGTCCTATTCCGACAATTACGTCGAAGTTCGTTTCAAAGTTCCGGAGAGATTTAAATCTGAAGTAAGAAATATGACGAGCCCGCTTTTCGGGCATAAAATAACTTTTAACAAATTATTTTTTTAGGTTTATTTTCGGACGTCGTGGTTAATTAAAAGTCTGAAACAGTTTCGGACCATTTTGCAACTGGAGTCCCCGTTCGCTGGTTTAGAAAACACCACTGTCGGCGTAAACGTCCTATCTTCTAGCATTAAAACGACCCTCTGGGCTTTTGTTCAAGTAAAACCCCTTGAAATTGAAGTGAATTCCACGTTAGAGGATAACGTCTTACACTGCGTTTCGTTATTGCAATTTAACGAGAAACGGTAAGTCTATTTAAGGCGTATTTGTTCAGTTTTTGTTTCTGACCCATCTACCTGTACGGGATGAACACCGCGTTTAACTTACAATTTGGCTGCATCTCGTCTCGTTTCTAATAAATAGGAACGTGATAATTAGAGTTCGGATTGTTTTGCACAGAAGATGCTCAAAATATGTCTGCTTTTCCCAAAAAATATGTCAATTGTATGCTTTTTTCTACCGTCTATGTACTTTTATGCCCTTTATTTTTTACATATATTGTTTATTGAAAATCAAGGAAAGAATAGCCAAACTTCGAAAAAAATTACATTATATAAAAATAATAATGCTTAATTAGGAATATTTATTAACATAGTTAATAATAAATTTGTGATTTATATCTATATACTTATACCTTACCCATATTAAAGCATTATGGTAAAAACTATGTAGTTTTACAATCACATATATTATTATTATTATTGTACCAGTTGACAATTAGATACTGTTCTAAATTTTCTATGGTTAATTTTTGTCTTTTATCGCTTAATACGCTTTTGTACTTGGAGAACGTCCTTTCGACGTCGACCGAAGTAATTGGCGCGCATTTAAATGATGCAAGATGTTCTGGTTCCAAATAATGTCATTCCTTATCAACAGTCGCATCTAATGAAATTTTAAGTAACTTTTGAAACCCTTCATTTTTTGTTGTTGTTATATTTATGAAAAATAATTTCCCTATTCTGCTTGGAACTTTGCTACTTCGAAATTGACTCTAACGAATACATTGGTTTGATCTCTAATTTTTTATTAGAGCCACATAAAAATTAAAGTTAACTTTGATATTTGTCAACTGATCTATAACTTCACATTTTTCATATATATTATTTTTTATTTAAAATCTGAATCTAAAAAATTTAATACAGTGTTTTTTATTTGGTTAAAGTGATTCGCGTGAAATAAGACTGCGTTTAACCACGTTTCCCATCGAGTAATTACAGGTTCAGGAGGTAAAGGAACATTTGGCTATGTTTCTCTATAAACTTGAACTCGAAGAAGTGTTTTAGCAAATATTTTTTTACGTTCTAAATTAAAGAATTAACTTTACTTAACTCTATTTATTCCATGCGCCAAGGAAGTCACCTGGATTAAATTTTTATAATTTTTGTTTAAATTTAACCCTGCGTTGGTCATATACGCTGCTGCGTCGTTGACTAAGAGAAGTATTTTATCAGTTGGTACTATATCTGGAGCAAAAAAAGCCATTAAGCTTTCATTTACAAATCGAACAATCTCTATACTGTTAGTTTTTTCCAACTGTTTTGTACTTATTAAATAAAATTTTGGTAAAATATTTTCATTCAAAACACCAACCAATAAATTCGCAACATAGCGACCACAAGCATCTGTTGTTTCGTTTGTAACAATGCAAAGATGCTGATTTTTAATTGCAGTTTTGGGATTGAAACTTACATAATTTTTTCTTAATGTACTTTCATGAGGTACATTTTTGTTGAAAAAATGTTTCTAAAAACTGTTTAAATTTACTGTTTAGTACCTTATTAAGGGGAATATTTGTACTTAACAGCGCTACACATAAGTGTAAATAAAAGTTGTCTTGATCAGTTGTTCTTGAAGATGCCGCTATTTCAAATTAATTAATGAGAACGTACCACAAGCCTTGCAGATTACTTCTTCTTTTTCCAAAGATAGCTCTGGATGATTTTTAATCCATACAGACACCAAATGATAATTCAGTTTCGGCATTTTCAATTCAATGATAGTTAACAGTAAATAAAATATTTAACATGCTTGGAAAAAATCAAAAGTATATATGAAGAGGGTGGGATGTATTTCATTCAATCACAAGCACCATCAGTGATAATTTTTATAGGAGCTTGTTAAAAGCACATTAGATAAAACAACAAAGGGACAAGGGCTTAATCCTTAGGTAACTGGATTTGAAGGCTATAAATAGAAAGTCCACAATATTGCAGATACGTCTTAATCTTATCCGTCTGGAAAATCCTAGTAACTAACCAAAACTAATGAATGGGTGCAAAATCTGCGACAACTAAAAATATGTACAAAGATTTCATTTTATGCGAAATATGTAATTTTTTTATATCGTTAATCTAATTATTTCATTCTAAAACGGATATATTCAAAATATTGGGTCGAAAAGATGTATTTTACATAAAATCCTAACTCTAGTGATAATTTACAACAACTTTATTGCATCATATTAATAATAGTTTCCTTTATGGAATGGAAATTTCCTAGAACATCTTAATTGCTTGTTAAGAACTTCTTGCCGAGTTTCATTTTGCTGGAAAATCAATACCAATAATTTTAATCAGAGAGTGTCGGATATCTCACAAGTGGGACTCTTACTTGGTAGGCGAACTTACGTTTCAGACAATCGACACTAATCCCATTAAAAAATAATAAAACCTTTCTGACTATATGTAGGTATTTATACATTTTTCAATCTGAAGTTGAAGTTTTATCTCAAATTGTAGTAAATGGTTTTCCTGGTGACCTATATTTTCAAAAAATGATGCTGCTTCTTTTTCTGCTTCCAACGCCTCATAGCTTACAATGCGGTATTCTTTTGGAAACTAGGTTGTCTAACTCAACTCAGAATTTTCGATACTTTTCATCTCCGAAATCTTCAACCGTAATGTCGATGGTATTGTGGTTATATCTGCCATGGATTTATCCCCATAATTATCTTCTTCGAGTTTAACCCAAATCATCTTCAACTTCCCTGCGATGAAGAAAGTATTACCCCCTAAATAAATAAATACCTCTAAAATGATATATCAGATACCTAGTACTTACCCAACTAATCTTTTTTTGTATATTAAATTCTGCAGCCTGCTCCTTTTTAAAATAGAAAGAGTGAACTTTTCTGCGAATGACTTATTTTGTATTCATTGATTCATTCAATCCAGCATCGAAAAACTAAGCAAACGGATTTAAAACACTTACACTTTGATTTTTTTTTCAAAGAAACTTCCAGAGTCTACTGTAATACTTTTTACAAAACTTCTGGATTCCTCCTACGTTGGTTTTTGTTGCGTCCAACTAGTTAACGTTTAGCCAATCATCCTGTTGGCTTCTTCAGAGCTTGACTGAAACTGACTCGCATTTTACTCTGTACCTACTTTTATATTGGTAGCAAGTAAAGACCTGAGTCACGGTTATGATTGTTAGGTTGCTTATAGATTTCTATAGACTCTCGGATTTTTCGTTGGTAAAAGAATTGATTATATGCAATAATTTTAGTTTTATCGAATAAAATTTTATGGCTGGTTTCATGATTGTGTTCGGCAACTAGGGAATATGTTGGAGAAACAATGGTGCTGACAATAGTTCGAAGGCGAAATCTTGGTTTGTGAATCTTTGCGAGTCCGTAGAGACGAGTAATTTTAGAGTCATGAGGGGTGACAGATTTTTTCGGAGTCTGATAGAGAAGAAACCTTAATAACAGGTTTAAGGTTGCTTTCTTCTTCCAACGAAAGATCCGAGAGTCTATAGAAATCTATAAGCAACCTAACAATCTTATCCGCGAATTACCAGTAAGGGAATCAGTCGTCCGAGGCGGTGTTTATGCCTCTCATTTACGTCATCAACCAATATATAAGCAGGTACAGAGTAAAATTGGGAGCCAGTTTCAATCAAGCTCTGAAGAAGTTAACATCATGATTGGCAAAACGTTAGCAAGTTCGACTCTTTGGTTAGCTAGGAGAACTATTACATCTTCTTTTCATTGGAATTAATGTCGATGATGTATACGGCATGTTACTAATATCGTATGGGTTTTCCATCAAAATTGCACATATTTGGCACAGTTTGCTGCATTATCTCGCGTGACCTATTTTCATATTACCTATTGAACTTATTACTATTTTTTTACGGTTGTTTTAATGGAATTTTTGTTGTTTCACCTGAAAAGCGTTGTTAAATACCGATAAAGCCGTTAATGGTGGGAATATTCGTATCACCGCTAATGCCAAAAACTAATGGAGTTGCAAACTTTAAATCCTATTAAAAACTGGAAATTGCTGGAATAATAAAAACAGATATTGTAAAGTTTCGTCCAATAAAATGGGCGTTAATGTCGCGTCATTTTGTTGCGCTTGGTAGTAAAAATATAATAAAATTCGGTTACACGTGACCGCATATTTTCTATCATAAAAATATTACTATCCAACGCATCGTCGTTAATTAGGTACGAAACTCTAAAAAATCTAGATTGAATGGGGTCATAAAACAATTTTATAATTTTGTTCGCAGTCGGTCGGGTCAATCAGGCTTTAAAAATCACAATGGTTATTAGTGGGGGACATAAACACTGCATGCTGGTGCTACAACGAGATTTTTATCTAAATTAGCTAGAATTTTTTGCTTCCCTTAATTGCGGTTAAATGATTTGATGGCGATGAGACCGAAACGATCTCGAACGTCGTTACTCACGGATAAAAAGCAGAAAATCCTTGTTACAGGTAACAGGTTACAAAACCTTTGCTTACGGATTGTTTTATCTCAATTCGTTAAGAATTTTAAGAACGCTAATTTTGCTACATTAACCACGATGAACTCCTAGACGCTCCCATGTAAACTTATTTTAAACTCGACGCTGTTGCTTTCTGGGAAGTTTCGACTTTTTATAATTTAGCCTTTAATATAGATTATTTTAAAAATTTTACGTTTTGTTGGTAATATAAATTTTCCACAATTTTAACTCTTTTTCAACCCAAATTCAAGCCCCAGGAATGAGATCAATTTTATACACAGTGCTGGTGTGGTGTGTCTTTTTTTTTATGCGTTGTAAATGATAGCTGCCATTATTCGAAACCGTTATTGAATCGGTCGCAAGATGTTTAATTTTTCCGTCCTTGTGATAATCTCCCGTTCGTGATGATGACTCAAATGTCAATAAATCCGGTCCTAGGAATCCATCTTCTCTTCCTTCACCTTACATTTGGTCGTACTGAACCAAATTGCTCCTTAAGTTGTA